ATATAAATGTATATACATGTAAATATTTTCAAAATATATGCTGTATGTGTGTGTATTTTTATATACATAATAAATATACATAATACACATACACACACATATATTATGTAAACAAAAACTTTTATTTTGGATGCGATTAATCGCGATTAATCGTTTGACAGCACTAAATATAATAATATAATATAATAGCCAGATTTGAATAAATCCACTTTTTTATATATCATATGATCGTATAGCATACTATTATATGATTTTAAAATAAAAATCTAAATATACATTATATTACATATTATATGGTGTTAAACTTCTAATTATATTCAAATCTGGAAAATAATACAATACAACACTACACAATAACAAAATTATATAATACAACAATAATAATATAATATACATTAAGATTTTTTGTTTAAAATCATATAATTTTATATTATATAAAAATCAAAACACGGAACATAATACAATGTAATATAATACCATAGACTGGGCTGGCAGCTAGGAGGAAGAGCGGAGGCAGGAATTCCGACAGAGCCCTGAAGAAAACACAAAGACATCAAACAGATAAGAAACAAGTGAATATTAATCATTACTAAGGGGAAAAGGCATTTGACAGATTTGAATATCCAAAATAATAAAAATCTATTTATATAATATCAAAATCATATGATTTGATACAAAATTTTGGGTATTCAAATTTGGCAAAATATAATATATATAATATAATATAATTAGTGCTGTCAAACGATTAATCGCGATTAATCGCATCCAAAATAAATGTTTTTGTTTACATAATATATGTGTGTGTACTGTGTATATTTATTATGTATATATAAATACACACACATTCAGTATATATTAAAATATAAACATAACTTTTTTTTTTTTAATATATACTGAATGTGTGTGTATTTATATATACATAATAAATATACACAGTACACACACATATATTATGTAAACAAAAACTTTTATTTTGGATGCGATTAATCGCGATTAATCGTTTGACAGCACTAAATATAATAATATAATATAATAGCCAGATTTGAATAAATCCACTTTTTTATATATCATATGATCGTATAGCATACTATTATATGATTTTAAAATAAAAATCTAAATATACATTATATTACATATTATATGGTGTTAAACTTCTAATTATATTCAAATCTGGAAAATAATACAATACAACACTACACAATAACAAAATTATATAATACAACAATAATAATATAATATACATTAAGATTTTTAGTTTAAAATCATATAATTTTATATTATATAAAAATCAAAACACGGAACATAATACAATGTAATATAATATAATGTAATATAATGTAATGTAATGTAATATAATATAATATAATATAATAACCTTATACAAAATTGTGGATATTTAAATCAGGTAAATAATATAATGAAATACTATGTAATGTAATATACAATATAATACATTTATGTTCATGTATTTGGATGTATGCACCATCATACCGTGTCTGTTCCTCAGCACCAGGCTGTAGTTTGGCGAGCAGGGTGAGGACAGGGTAGAGGGAAGGGTGCAGGAGAAGGGTGGCATCATGAAGGTCTTTAGCTGTGCTTTCCAGCGCCCCCTGGAGGAAGGGCTGTAGGGCTGGGTAGAGGTTAAAGAAGGAAGGAGAAGACATGCCGGAATGAGCAGAGCCCTCTTCACCGGTAGGCTGCTGACCCAACATTCTGGTGCATAGAGAACCTACGAGAAGTGAAAGGTCAACATGTGTGACTAATTCACAAGGGTTGAATTTAGAATAATTGTGAGCGTGACCGGTTCATACTGTAGAGCTGCAGGGCTGCGTTCCTCATAGCCCAGCATGGTGAGCTGAGGAGTGTGAGTGACAGAACGGCCACCACAGGGGTGTACTGTAGAACAGCTACACCCAGACTGGAGCCCTTCACCAGAGCTTGAAGGATGTGAACGGCACACACCTGTGAGAGATCAGGGGACAGACATCTTTTACGAACATAGCTACTTTTTTCTTTAACATATGTTTGATCCAGCAAAACTGTAGATTTATTTAATAGGAAGATCATTGACTCTACCTGTGGTAAGTCGAGAGTTTGGTCCCAGTCCTGGGGAAGAGGTGCTTTGGCTGTGTCCAGCAGGGTGTTAATGGTTTGTGCCAAAAGGGGGCGAGTCTTGCTAGAGTCCTCAGCAGCTAAGACACCCAAAATCAGCATGGGCAGACCGGCAGCACGCCTTGTTACTGAGGTACTACGGGGCGACTGGAGAACAGAAAGGCCCTAGAGGGAGAGAGAGAGCATTATATGATTTTTTAATAAAATAAAAATGATTTAATGGCTACTTAAAGGGATAGTTCACTCAAAAATTAAAATTCTATCAAAATTACTCACCCTCGTGTTGTTCCAAAGCCGGTAGATCTTCGTTCATCTTCGGAACACAATTTAAGATATTTTTGATGGAATCCGAGAGCTTTCTGACCCTACATAGACAGCAATGGAACTACCACGTTCAAGGCTCAGAAACATAGTAAAGACATCGTTAAAACAGTCCATGTGACATCAGTGGTTCAACCGTAATTTTATAAAGCTATGAGAAGAACACAAAAATAACTTTTTTCAACAATTTCTTCTCCTCCGTGTCAGATTTCAATGCGCGTCCACAACAGTACCACGACGCATGCGTGTGCATTCCTCTTCTTGTAAACAAGTTATTTTTGTTTTCTTTGCACACAAAAAGTATTCTCGTGGCTTTATAAAATTATGGCTGAATGTCACATGGAATATTTTAACAATGTCCTAACTACCTTTCTGGGTCTTGAACGTGTCAGATGCGTTGCTGTCTATGCACGGTCAGAATAAAGCTCTCAGATTCCATCAAAAATATCCTAATTTGTGTTCCGAATATGAACAAAGGTCTCGCGGGTTTGGAATAACATGAGGCTGAGTAATTAATGACAGAATTTTCGTTTTTGTGTGAACTTTCCATTTAAATAAACACAGGTCATTTAACTTGGAATTGACATTTCTATTAGAATCCCATGAATCTCTAGTTGAGAATTAATGCTTTATTCTAGTCTACCTGTTTTAATATGAGAGGCGGGATCTCTCTGATCTCCGGATCAGAGCTGCTCAGTAGAGCCCTGCAGAACTTAGTAAAGCCAATACAGCAGCCCTCTACTGCCCCCTAATGGAAGATGAGAGAAAAAGAGAGAACAGGACCACAAATATAAGATGTTACTGTGAAACAAAGTGGAGGGAAAAAGTATAAAAAAAAAGCTAATCTGTCTTACCCAGTGTCTACATTTCAGAATGATGTCTTTAAATACTTTGGAAGCCTTCCTGAGGTCTTCCACACTCAAAGTCAGCTCTTTACAGTGCAGTGACAGGATTCTCTCCACCAGGGAGCCCAGAAAAATACCAATTTCCTACCGGGAAAGTAATAATTAGTAGTAATGGTAATAGACTAACCTTCTTATTCATACATAATACTTTTTGTAAACCACAGCTTAAAATGTAGGCTGATGTCCTGTCATCCTTCTAGCAGCTTTACCTTCAAGGAAACCCAGCAGCAGGTCAGCACTAGACTATGTTCCTCAGAGAGCAGCACATTCTCCTCTCCATCCTCATCAAGTCCCGCCCCCTCAACCCCACCCTGACCAATCAGAGAACTGATTGCATTCCCCATGTCACAGAATGATGGAGGCACATCTGTGACAAAAAGAAAAGTATATTCTCAAAAGAGAATCTCTTCAGACATATTGTTTACATCTGCAGTTTCAGTGTACCTTTCTCCTGTGTGTCCTGGTCCCCGTACAGCACACCTAACAGCAGTAGAGTGAGCTTTTCTACTAAAGATACAATGTCTCCTGCAACACTATGGGTTATGGACTCCACTAGGACCCCTGGCACCTCCAGCAAGCCCCTCTGCAGAGCACTTACAACACCTGAAGTAATAAAACACACTCCATTTGTGGATTATTACAGCATATTTTCAGATATATTAGTAGTGAAACCTCCACTTAGTGGTAAACAACTGCAGCAAGATCTATAAACTCAGCTCAGTTTTATACCATGAATAGGCGTTGTACGAGCTGCAAGCAGCATGTCATTCCTGGCAGTGAGATAATGGTGCTCCAGTTTGGTGAGAAGAAACGTGATCAATTTAACTGAATGTTTCTCCCCATGTTCAAATGCCCCATCCACCCTATGACACAGAAATACACACACACACACACACATGTGCACACAAGAAAATATTGTTCTCATAAAAACAAGAAGGACCCAACACATTTTAAATAAACTCAAATTAAATTACCCCCAGGCACAAACTCTGCTTATACACTTCCGTTCAAAAGATTGGGTCAGTACAATTTTTTTTTTTATGAAAGAAATGAAAACTTTAATACATCAAGGATTAGATTGATCAAAAGAGACAAAAGTGACATAAGTGAAAGACTGTTTTAAATAAATGCTGTGTTTTTTAACTTTTTATTTATCAGAGAATCCTGGAAGTTTGCATGGAAATTCAGCTTTGTCATCATAGGAATATATTACATTTTAAAATATATAGCAAAAGTAGAAAACAGTTATTTAAAATTGTAATTATATTTCACAATATTATTGTTTTTACTGTAATATCAAACTTTTGAATAGCAGTGTATGTGTATCCTTTCACACTTCAAGACTAAAAGAGACAAAAGCGATGTTTGCTCACTTGTGCAGTAGAAGTTTGATCATCAGTGCTCCCATCTGGGCCTCCTGGACCCGTGGGCTGTGGAGCAGCCTTTCTGCCCTCCTCAACAACACAGCTGTGACATCATCCGGGAGAGACGAGGGGAAAAATCGGAGAAGTAGCTCTGCAGACAGTTCACGGATCTACAGCACAGGGACAACATATGCCAGGCAAATACATCACATTACGGACAACTGGGGCAAGGGTTTCAACTGTGCATACACTTCTGGGGTTGGTAATATCTTAATGTTATTTTTTAAGAATGCTCTAACGCTCACCAAGGCTGCATTTATTTGATCAGAAACACAGTATAAACAGTAATGTTGTGAAATATCATTACAATTTAAAAGAACTGTTTTCTATTTTTATATGTATTTTAGAATTTATTCCTGTGAGGGCAAAGCTGAATTTTCAGCATCATTACTCCAGTCTTCAGTGTCACCATGATCCTTCAGAAATCATTCTAATATGCTGTTCTGGTAAATGGTGCTCAAGAAACATTTCTTGATAAGATTCTCTTATTAAATGTCTTTACTGCCACCTTTTAATGCATTCTTGGTGAATAAAAGTACCAATTTCTTTAAACAAATCTTACTGACCCCACGGTTTTGAACGGTATTGTCTATTCATTTAGTTTTACCTCATTGGTCGAATCCTCCAAACAGCCAATCAGGACAAGCATCTTTGACTTTGAGAAGAAGTCCCACTTTCCCCTCTCTTTAGCCCAGTTTATAAGAGTAGACATATTGGCTAAAAGAAAAAAAATCAATCTCTGATATCATTTTTATTATATTTAGCATTAGCAATGAACATAAAATAATAAATTTGAAGTTAAAGATAAAAAAAATCGACAATTCATAATATGTATTCCAAGGTACTTCAAAGGATACCATGGTACATGCCGAAAACATGATATATAACCATGGTATGCTTTTGTAAGTGTTGTTTTATTACCAGGTGGTTGTCCCTTCTTTCTGTCTGGACTCCAGGTGTCTGTACATGTTTCCAGCACTGCAGACAGCAGGAGCAGGACAGTCTTCTTCCTCTGGTAGCTGCTGTCAGGAGTCAAATAGACCAATGACAGCTGGAAGAGCCAGTCAACAAACTCTGAGGGAACATATCATGATCATGAATATAAAATATCATCAAATATCAAAATATCTTGATCTTACCAATAAAGCCATTTTATTATATTCTATTGATTAAAAGGCTTCATATATTAAAATGTTAAAAATTTTTTGATTATTAATACACAAACTTTGACAACGTCACTAAAAACTTGCATCCATGCCAATAGATGGCAGTAGTCAAAGACTATCATCATATCATCATATTGGTCATTTAGAAAGACAAGTGAGTGCCAGCAAAACATAATAAAAATATTACTTGTGCACCTTTAAAATAATGTTGAAATCAACTGTAAAAATATATAACATGAATTTTAATTTCAAAAAACTCCTCACCGACTCCTTGTTTAAGCTCCGCCTCCTCTTCCTCCGTGAGCCCTTTTTTACCATTATGGCCTTTGATGCTTGCCATGCAACTGTCTCTTATTCTCACCAAGAACTTCCTCAGCGCTGCCTGAAGGTGCTGGCGGAAAGGTGACGATTCGCTGTTGAGATTGAGCGGGAGGAAGTCTCTCAGAGCGGAATACTCAACTTGTGATGGGGCTTCTTTGGTCTTTGGACTGCAGCAGAGGAGGTTCAGAGCTGCAAGCCGGATGCTGTCATCCAAAGAGGAGAGGGCAATATGGAGAGTCTTAAGAGCATGGGGGCTGTCCGCACTCCAGAGGGAATGTCCACTTGTGGCCCGCTGGGCGCTCATGACACAGGCCCACGCGTGAAGGTGACCGGGAACCGCGGGGTCCAGAGCTGACAACAGAGTGTTAACAGCACCTGGAAATATTCGTAGTGTTGAGGGCAGAAGATGGCTAGAGGCGTTATTTTGAAGAAGAGTTAATTCCGAAGTCAAAGCCTCCAGAATGACTGGTTGCCACCTCCGAACCCATTGATTGGCTGAGTCTTGTTCAGTGGGTGGAGCTTCTTGGGATGCATTTATAATAAGCTCGCGTTTCTGTTCCTGAAGGAGGGATTTGTAGACTTCTGAGGCACATGGAGAAAGGTGATTGGTGGAGAGGCATTTTAGGATGTGAGAGGGAAGAGCTGTATACAGTTCCAAAACCTTTTAGGAGGAGAAACTATATTTTATTTTACATTTACTTAAAATGACTTTTATAATGTACTGATGCTAATAAGACTCTCAGAAAGCTAAAATAAAGCTTCTTTTCCAAATCATGTAGTATTTACATAAAAATGTATTTCTGATATAAAATATTTTTTCATTTTATATGGACACATCTGAATATTTGGGTTGAACTGTTCTGGAACAGTGTTGTAAATACAACTTAACCACTGATTTCTAGTCGTGTCCATTTTTGGAAGGTCAAACAAAGTAGTTTTGCTTTCACAACGAAACACAGCGTCACACAAGGCGGGCTAGAGTGAGCGGCGGCCGGTGGGCTTGAGAACGGCGAGGCGGGCGGGCTTGCGGCAACCACATGTGACGACCCCGGGCTGGACTCCGCTTCGTCCACGGTGAAAGCCGATCCGGCGATCCACAGCGCGAAGTCGATGTATTTCCTCAGCGACCAGCACAGATCAGCTCTAGGCATGATGAAGCGGATATCGTCCTCTTTTGGAAGACCAAACAAAGTAGTTTCACTTTCACAACGAAACACACAGCGCCTTCACGACATGGCGGCAGCAACAATACTACAGCGAGAATAAAAGTTACGCCTTCTTTCTTTGCGTGAACATTTGGGCGGCGTTATGCAAACCTTCCCACATCATGACGTAGATATGTGGAGGCGTGTTAGAACGAGCCGTTTTAGGTAAGTGTGGTTGACTCTTAACTTTTATAAAGAATATCTCTTTGGATTTGAGACTTTAGTCTTTGCAACTTTACAGATCTTCTTTATGCACCAAGAGCTTGTAACACTCCAAAGAGAAAGGAAAAATTGAAATCGCATCATATGACCCTTTTAAATTATTGCTTTTATTTTTACATTTATATTAAATAAAATGTATGCTATAATTTATATTAGAATAAATGTATACATTCTTAGAATTCTTGATAAAATTCTTAAAAAAATAAATTTATTTATTAGTTATACATACAATATTATTTATAATATTCATATTATATTATTAATAATAACATAGTAGATATAACATTTATTTTAAAAAGAAAGGAGGTAGATGGACAAGGGTGTCTGGTCACTCCTCTTACCTTGTCTGTTCCTGCATATGGCAGAAGTGCAGTAAGCGGTAAATACTTTGCTTTGGATTCCCAAGGCAGTTCTGATATACTGTTCAATAATTCCACATAAAGTCTTTTATCTGTGTTCTCAAAGTGCAGACAATCCTTGTCATAGATCTCCATAAACAGACAGAAAGCACTGCGTGCCACCTCTGCAACACCATCCAACTACAATAAAAGTAATGAACAAAAATACCAGCTGAGTGGATGTGTTCCTGTAATTAACTTTGGTTAAATGTCTGGTTTTATCATTTAATATGGATTTTCTCAAGAAAGTATGACTGGTTCTTGCCTGTACAAAACTGCTAGGGAGTTCTGAGTGGTTTTAAAACACGGCCCAAGGAGAAATAGCCCATCTTACTCCATACTTAGTGTTCAAACCCATATACCTTAAAATAAAGTATATTCTGTTTCATAGTGTGCAAAAGGCTTACCGGGCTCTCAGCATTGCTCCAGATGATTTGTGTAAGGTGCTGCTGGAGGTCTGAATCTAAAGGAGCACCAGTAACTTCCCAAACCTCACTGAGGCACTCTCTCAGCCTCTTCAGCCAAATAGTAAACACTACAAAGAAAACACATATGCATACAACTTTAGTCACCCACAGTCATGCACAGACCCAGCAATCTACAGAATGACGCATGAGGATAGAGAGCTTGTACCTTGAAAAACATAGTAATGACAGTCAAGCTTTTCTTCACAAAGAGCTGAGATGAAGGGGAACAGCCCATTCAGGAGAAGACAAGTCTGATAAAACAAAAGAAAGAGTAAGTAATTATATGTTCCACTTTGGATCATTCTTAGAAAAAGCAGTCTATGCGCTGCTTGCGTACCCCTTGGTTGCTATGGTGACTGACAAGAATGTCATTTCTGCAGCAAGTTAACAACCCCCTGCATACAGCCAGTCTGTCCACTCCGTCCTGACGTCTGGGACGACAGTCCACCTGTAGCTCACCTACCGTCAATCTCCACGGTTCTGAGACATACAACATTCACATATCACAAAAGACAGGCAACTATCAAAGCAAACTAGTAAGTTAATTGTACATTATAGATCAAGAAAATACATTTATATAGTCATATTGTTACAAAAAATGTATATTTCAAATGAAAGCTTTCTATTTATCAAAAGCAACACAAACATTTTCAACACTGATAATAATAAGAAATGTTTTTCAGCAACAAATCAGAATAAACAGAGAAACAATAAAAAAAAAGAAAAAAAATTAAATAAAATAAAATTTTAATTTATCTTTGCCTTTACAAGAATAAATTACATTTTAAAATACATTAAAAAGTATTACAATTTAAATAAAAAATAAATATTACAATTTCATTGTATCTTTTTTTACTGTATCTTTTATCAAATAACACACATTCCAATTTTTTTTTAATCTTACCAACCGTTATAAAGAATATCTCTTTGGTTTTGAGACTTTAGTCTTTGCAACTTTACAGATCTTCTTTATGCACCAAGAGCTTGTAACACTCCAAAGAGAAAGGAAAAATTGAAATCGCATCATATGACCCCTTTAAACGGTAGTCATATGCCTTTAAACGGATAGTTCACCCAAAAAATTAATTACTCAGCCTCAAGTCGTTCCAAACCCATAAGACCTTTGTTCATCTTCATCATTTTTGATGAAATCCGAGAGCTTTCTGACCCTGCATAGACAGCAATGCAATTGACACGTTTAAGACCCAGAAAGGTAGCAAGGACATCGTTAAAATAGCAGGGTTCTTACACATTTTCCAAATTCAAATTCAAGCACTTTCAAGGTGCATATTCAAGCTTTTCCAGCACTTTAAACTGTGGTAAAAATTACATGTTTACACACACACACTTGAGTTTTTCACTTTAAATCAGATGTTACTGTGCTATTAAAAACCACCGGTCTGGATAGCATATAGCATTGCATAATATAAATAGCCAACATACAGTATATAAATTATAAAAATAAAAAAGAAAGAATTTACAGGGTATCTGCAGGATTTTTTAAAATAATATTTAAGGCTTTTTACCTTGCAAAAATAAAATAAATACTGTATGAGTGGGGTAGGGCAATGTCTATTGTAACATATTAAACCATAAAATGACTTTAAAAAACACGATTTGCAGTTCAAATACAAATAGAAAGAGTTGTATAAAGAGACAAAACTCAAATTGACAAACCTCAGCCTTTAAAATATTTTTTAAAAATAAAGAAAATTTCCCAACAAGGTCCATCGCCCAACACAAAATGAATTTGCTGAAGGCAGAATAAACTGTATTTTCCTGCGCTCAAACCTGCCAATCTAAAGGAAACACTGTGTATGGCGTTTGAGGTCATTTGTGAATTACCATAGTCTTATAGTCTAAATAAAACAATTTGCAACTATTACTGTTATTACACTTGTATACAAAACTTCGTATTATGCTTGTTATAAAGAGCGTGGCGTCACGTGCACTACCGCCGGTGGCAGTAGACAACGTGACGTGGTTGTCACGGTGACCGTCACAGCCCTAGTAGTTGCGTTGCTGTCTATGCAGCAGGGTCAGAAAGCTCTCGGATTTCATCAGAAATATCTTAATTTGTGTTCCAAAGATGAATGAAGGTCTTACGGGTTTGGAACGACATGAGGGGGAGTAATTAATAACAGAATTTTCATTTTTGGGTGAACTATCCCTTTAAGTGCAATTAAATACTGTAGCTGACCTGTGTTGGTGATTTGCAGCAGACTCCAGGCAGCTGATCCTGCACACTGACTGTCTGTCGCTGTGGTGAGCAGCATTGCAACCGCAGTGCCAGCCAACAAACATGTATCTCTGCTGGAAACCTGAGAAACACCATTAAATGACACAAAATTAGACTGCTAGATAAAATCATTTTAGTTTTTTCCAAACATACAGTTGCGACCACAAGCACCAACCTCTCCTAAGATAACGCTCATCAGGAACTCCAAAATATCTCTCAAACTCATTTTTGCACTTTCCTTACTGTAGACCATCAGGGCCACCTGACCAGGCAGCAGCTGAAACACCTGCAAACAAACCTGAGAACAACACAACAAGAGCTGTGAGGATGCAGATTCACATCAGCTGTTGTTTAATCAATAACTAGATTTCCACCTTGACAGTCTGATAGCACAGTGGCCCATTTCTGGTTGCTTCATCTGACATAACAGCAGGAATCAGCTCGGCGACTTTATTAAGCAGAGTGCTGCATTCTGCTTTGAGAACCTCTCGTCCCGTAGTGCTGTCCTCCAAGAACATACAGACTGCCATAGGACACACACCACAGCTATTACAACACAACAGCCATGACTACAGATGTCTGTAAAGTAGTAGCGAACTGATGCACACTCACCTATCTGAAGATCTTTCAATGAAAACAGGAGGAATGGCAGAGGATCCCCAAATCCATGTGTGAAAAACTTGTTGCATCTTTCCCAAAGACTCATGGCTGTATTAGATCAAAAGGGTGCTTCTACTAAATACTGAGCATTTTTCAGTTTTTCTTTTTTAATAAATCTGCAAAGATGTCAACAATTCTGTGTTTTTCTGTCAATATGGGGTGCTGTGTGTACATTAATGAGGAAAAAAATTAACTTAAATGATTTTAGCAAATGGCTGCAATATAACAAAGAGTGAAAAATTTAAGGGGGTCTGAATACTTTCCGTACCCACTGTATATATATATATATATATATATCAAATAAAAATTGTATATAATATTACTACTATTATATAACATTAAAAAGTTACTTTTTAACCTGTTTTTGGTGCAAAAGGGTCAGCATATATTGTTTAACTTCCTCAAAGACTATGGAGCAGTTTATTTCAGCCAAAACCTGCAGCATCTATAAAACAGAGTTAAGAAGGTGTTGTTTTAAGGGAAACCAACAATCAGGAACAAAAAAATGATGGCAATGTTGAAGTAAAGGTGAAAATTACTTGGTCTAATTTGCGGCAAGCGGATGAAGAGGTCACTGCCTCTAGCTGTAAGGCCAAAACAAGCTGAACAAATTGATGAAGAGCAGCAGGCTGTAAGGAACCAAGTGCTTCTTTTGGGATCTTCTGCAGGATCTGTGAAGCCTCCTCCAGTGAGCGCTCCCTGCTCCGTTTGCCTGCGCTCCTGTCAATAAAACACTCTCTCTCATTCACAAACAATATAAGGGTGTTTTTAGTCCTGTGGACTAGAAATAACCTCTTAAAATAGTTTCCACACTCTTTCTAGATTTGTCCAGGTAACACTTGACATGTCCAAATAATGCATTGCGTTTAATAACATTTTTAATCATATACGTCTCGCTAAAGCTAATTTCATAAATAGCATTACAGTATATTGCTTGTAGTATATTCAGTTTTCAATTTCAAGTACATTATTGGCATGATTGTGTTTACATACACACAAGAAGTAACGATAAGAAAACGAAATATACAATATAACAAATATAAAAATAATTAAAATAAGGTATACACATAATATAAATAAGAAAATACATATATAATTCACAAACATCACAAATTTAGAGCTTGTACAAAGAAATTCAAAGCAAGCTCAAAGGGCTACTCATCCCAAATCAAATTAAAGTGTACTTGGAAAAAAGAATAACGAAACAGCATGCAACAGTACTTTTTAACAGTAAAATATTGTTGAATGCACCTCTCTAACTCCCTAAGTTACCTGGCATTTTCTGTCAGCTTCTGCAAGAAAATCCTTAGCGTGTCTTTGACATCACATGGTATTTGATCTTCTGAAACGACAGATTTCATAACTGCATCAGCTTGTCCCGAAGAAAAAATTAAAATCGTCATAGTTGCGAGCTTCAGACTTGTCAGTTCACACCAGTGTACACAGCTCCATGTGTAAACTCAATCTCATTCTACAGCGAGTGTCACGTACATGATTAGCGCACTCCAGCGCCCCTACCGGCGCGACTGTATGGCTAATACAGTATCAGTCTGTAAACAGTCTCTGATGCTGCAATACGTTTTTAAAATGAACAATCCTTGAATCCAAATGAACAATTACTTGCCATGTTTCCCCTCTGAATGGGCTAAAGGTGTGAGCTAAAAAGCGGCAATAGTTTAATTGAATGTTGCATTAGCTTTCAAGAAGTCAGTTTTATGCTGGCTTAGCTAACAGAGAATGTACCGGTTATACATTATATTTTCCGCACTTTTGTGCTTTTTGATATTGAAATGGCTGAAACGGAGAAGGCATTCCATGGATGTGAAGAGGTTAGATGGAAAAACGATCTCATTCGATCTCGATTCAATATCAATTCATATGTATTGTACATATAAGGGGATACAAATCTATTGTTGAATGCAGTTGAATGCCTTTTTCAGCACCATTTTAAACTTTTCTTAAATTCAATATTTGCTTGCATCCATGATTATTCACTGCGTGTATACGTATACGAGTATGAATAAAAGTTAAAAAAGGATGTAAGTTATTAATTTCGGATTTAAAAAAAATAGTGTTTAATCACGTCTAAATATTTATTCAAATGCAAAACTTAAAAATAAGCAAGCAGGTATGACCTGCAATACTCTTTTGACAAATAGATACATGTATATTTATTAAAGAGCCATACAGGTACCTAGTGGGTAAAACATGACATTAAATGAAATTTTTTTTTTTTTCTGACCACAAAATGACTCTAATTTGCCTCTTTGCATTGTAATTTAAAACCATTTATTCTATTTTAACCTCAAATACTACATAAATTGTAATAGAAATATTAGAAAAAATATTTTAAGTGGTCATTAATGGACCATAATTATTGCATAAATAGTATTTAGTACCAAAAGATCTCCTCAAAATATTAAATAAATATCATTGAACTAAAATATAGAACATTTATTTAACTAAAAAATAGTTAAGGTGTATGGTCACATTATAAGTAAGGAATTCCTTAAGGTTAAATACAAGAAAAACATATTAATGTTGCCTCTCCATCACTCTCCAGAATAAAATGATACAGTAAATGTCATCGAAGTAATAATCAATGCATGATAATATGCTGTAATGTTTACCAAAAGTTGCTGCAAAGACCTGTGTAGTGAAGCTGTTGTCGTCTATCCTGCTTAAACCCATTCAAATTGGCAGCGCTGGTTTGTTTGGAACTATTGAGCGCTACTGAACCACGTGACCGCGTGGCGGCGACGCCGGCGAGATCAAAGTGTCATGTCGCAACAGTTTTTCAATGGCTCTGGCTTTAACTGAGGCGCTACAACGAATTGCCAAAACTGTATTTATTGTTTGAATTTCGTATTAAAATTGACAAAATCTGAAAGCTGAGACTTTGTTTCATATCACAAGCAGAGTTGCCAATTTGGCGTGAGATTTACATGGGCAGCGTGAGAGCGTGAGACAGAGCCTGAAAGCGTGTCTCACGCCAAATGCGTGAGAGTTGGCAACCCTGCGATTTGTATTATTACATATTTTCCTTGCATATTAAAAGCCAAACCATCATCTAAAGTGAAACCACATTAGCTGAATGATGAGAATCATGTGTTACTCTGTGTTGTTCTGGAGTAACCTTTATAGGAAGGTCATTGCTATTGTGTGTTTGAGAAGTGTAAAGCTCCTCTGCTTTTAAGAGCCTCTTTTATTCTTGTACATGTCATGTGGCATGGCAACTGTATGTTTCAGGTGGGAACACTGGGATCGGGAAGGAGACGGCTGTGTTGCTGGCTTTACGAGGAGCTCGTGTGATCATGGCCTGCAGGGATGAGGAGAAAGCCAGGAAAGCCATTCGAGAGATCAAAGCCAGGAGCCACAATATGAATGTGCTGCATATGGAGGTCGACCTGGCCAACATGAGGTCTATAAGAGAGTTCAGCAAAACCTTACAAAAGGAGAAGCGGCTGGATATTCTGATAAATAATGCAGGTGAGGATTGATATCCGGGTGGCAATTGATGATCTAAACCTGGGGTCCAGGGACCCTCGAGGCAGTGCTAGTTTGGTAACACTTCACTTAAAGCCTTTATAAATAACGCATTATAAAAGTAGTTTTAATGCATGAATTATGCTTTGCAATGCACCTTATAATGCAATGTATGATCTCATGACTATTTGTAACCACAGTTATAATACATTACACTTATTATTGCTTCACCTTTAGAAAGTATGATGCATTAAAACACATGACAAGCACACTTTCAAATATTGTAATGCATTTTAACTTTGGTTATAATTATTTATGAAAAGATATAATGCATTACAGCACACATTATGAATGCCTTTATAATGCATTATACGTAAAGGCTTTAAGTAATGTGTTACCAGTACTTTTAAAAGTAATGCATTACAATATTGTGTTACTCTGTAAAAAAAGTAACTAATTGTGTTGTTACTTTTTATAGAAAGTAATGCATTATGTTACTTTTGTGTTACTATTTGTCACCTGGGCTGGGATGTCAGTGAATAAATGGGGGGGGAAAGTATTTGAAAATTTTATTTGAAAAAGTAACTCAGATATGTGACCCTGGACCACAACACCAGTCATAAGGGTCCATTTTTATAAATTACGTAGGCATGCCCAGCGTTCTCGACTGGACAGATGATGATTTCTCCATGTGCTTTGGCGTGAACCACCTTGGCCACTTCTTACTGACCAACCTTCTTCTCCCGCGACTGAAAGAGAGCTCACCGAGCAGAGTGATCAATCTCACCTGCTCCAGCTGCAAGTACCAGAAGATCTCAACTACAACCTGTTTCCGTTCTTCACCTACTGCCGCAGCAAGCTGGCCAACATTTACTTCACACAGGAGCTCGCTCGCACGCTGGAGGGGAAAGGAGTGACTGCGTACGCCGTTCACCCTGGTGAGATATAAAATATAGGCTGACTTTCTCATTTTTACAACAGTGGAAAAGGTTGCTCTGCTGTTGCTGAAGTCTGAGCAGTAATAGTAGTGATCTTTACCGTAGCAAGAACCTGTAATTGTCTGAACTGATTATTGTGAAGTTCATCTTGTGTCTTTTGTCTCATTCAGGTTACGTTCAGAGTAACTGGATCTGTCATTACTCGGTTTTGTTCCGGATCCTTGTGCAGGTGGTGATGTTCATGACGGTGGTCTACTGCGCCGTATCAGACGAGGTGCTCGAGCACAATGGAGGATATTTCACTGACTGTCAGCCGGCTCACCTTCGAGTCTTCGCTAGAGATTCTGGAGTAGCAAAGAAACTTTGGGAGGCCAGCAAGAGACTAGTTAAACTGGCCTGATAACAGTATACAGCGCTTTTTGTTTGCATGTTTGATAAGCAGACTGATTCTTATGTTATTCATAGAAAGCCATGTTAGTTTTTGGTTTGTAAGAATGTGATTTTTAGGGCACCGTTTAGAGTTTTGTGCGAGTTGTATGTGCTGTTTTTTTTACAGTGTAATTTATTTAATGATTGACGTGGTTTCTGACATGCAGTATTGAATTGCCCATGTTTTCGTTAAACACTTTAATTAGTGAAGAATGTAAATAGGTCACCACAAATTCCATTTAAGATGGAGGGTGGCTATTTATAAATGCAAACTAATCAAAGCCTGAAAGCGCACAAATCTAGAATTACAAAGGTTTCATTAATGCATTTGGCGTATGCTTTTATCCAAAGCGATTTACATTACTTTTGCATTCATTCATTTGATCACTCCATGTCAAAGGTGAAATTTTTCACAAAAAAATAGAGGAAAAACCGTATTCATTTTCCCTAATGGTAGAATTTTTAATTAAAATGCATTTTAAATGCTAATGAAAAATAAAGATAAAGTGATTAAGAAAGCAATTTCCATTTGCATTACAAAAATATGATTTTACTTATTTCCATGACTTCTGCAGGCCTGTTTTTAAACTTTTTTTTTTTTTTTTAAACGGTTTGTAAAACTGACCTCCCAGCCAGGTTAAGGAAGTAAAAATCCCATTCATTTTCTCCCAAGGGGAATTGATTTTTAATATGTTAAAATAGACCTACTGTGAGCTTAGAGGTTGTTGATTGATGGTATAAGCCATCAGCCTGCATTATTTGAAGTAATTCCCAACTCTTTAGCAAAAGAAAAATGAATGAGAAAAATTCCAAGCCTGCTAAAAAAAAGTGGAACACTTTAAAAATATATATCGCTTGTCAATTTTGAATGCACATGTACACAATTCTTCAGTATTTAAATCATCTCATTTATTTATATATCTTTTGAACACATTTGCTTAAGTCAGGGAATACACGGAGCATATTTGAGAACAGAGCAATAACAAGAGTAAGAATCATCAGAAATCAAAGAGAATATTATCTTATACAGAAAAAACAAAACTAACAGAGGGCTACTGTGAGAAAACTCAACTTCAGAGAAACTATCCGGAACCGTTTCCAATCAGAGAAATGATATGACGAGTGAAACGGAAACAGTCCTATGCTAAAAGACGGTGCAGGTAGAAATACTCTGGATCGACCGAGCTGTAATTGTTAAGTTAGTCATAAAAGACCGATAGAAGTCAGAAACAATCCACGGTTTTATTGGCCATTCAGGTTTGGTGAATATCTGCAAAGCACAAACAGCAGAACTATGTCACTGGCTCACTGCCGATACAAATTTAGCTAAAAATGATTTTGAAAAACCCATGCATATTTAGCTAATATTGCAAGTGCTTCTCTGAAGTCAAGCAGTCTCATACTAATGAGTAATCTTATAGTCGTTAATATAAATATCAGTCACCCTGCATTGACAACAATGAGCTTAATACAAAAGCATGCCGTAGAAATATCACCATTCCAATGATCTTAATATCATCGACATTTTATAGCTATAGTCTTCGTCATTTACACTGCCATTGTCAGCATCATTTTGGGACAAAAATGTTATAATATATGCACTTAACAAAGCTGGTAAAACAGATAAGAGAAAGGTTTAGGTAAACCAGCATTCAATAGAAAAAATGAAATCAAAAAGATAAATAACACCAAACCTAGTGTTCAAGTGACTGTCATGCAAAGAAATTCCAGCTGAAATGCAAGTAAACTGCAGTTTCAATACTGCGTGTCCTGTTTTAATAGTGATGTGCACTTTCACTCGTTAACATGTTTATTTTCGTTGCTACACACACAGAGAACAGTACACTTTTTACATGCTGTTTTGTTTTTTTGTGATTTTGTCTTTTTTTTATTAGGGAGAGGACAGGCGTGGAACTCTGATGACTCATATAAACACAGGTGAAGTTTTGAATGAGATAAATCATCCAAGAATGAGACGCAACTGTAACAGAAGCACAAACACACAAACACGTGCCTCGCGGGGTCGCTTTGTTTGAGAGAAATATTTTGATTGGATTTGAAAAGATTGCCTCTTTTTATCTGTATGAGAGGCGCTTCGGACGATTTCTTTCAAATAATAACAAAAGATCAGTAGTCATCATCGATATGACGTGGCTCAAAGCTAGTGTGTTCAAACATCAGTGTGCAACACACATAAACTTAAGAAGCACGTAAGAACTTGCAATAATATAATCAAATAAATAAATACAACCTGAGGACACAATCAATATATAAGGTCAATAAAATAAGTCACATGACCGGGCGATGATGTCACACCGACACGTCAGTTCACCACAATTACCAACCCTTTAAAAGTAGACTGAAACCAGCATAAAGTTGCATGAGGTGTGCCGTATACTTCATAAACTACGTCTCACCATCTTCTGAAATATAAAACTATTGCTGCCGATTTTAAACCTCTTCATTCTTCGAAAGTTTTCACACACCTAGCACTTTGCCCATCCAAAGAGTAAACACACTATAAAAAGGATCCAGGGTAACAAATTTTTCACTCCTTAAAAGTCTCACACACAGATGACAAACAAAATATATATAAACTCTCAAAAATAGAATGAGTAATAGTGATAAGTCAATACCATATGGTGCGAAAATATAAGAGCAAAAAAACGCAAAAGAGCAAAAATTGTAACTCTTTCAGTTAAAAACCACCGAAATCTTCATTTTTAAACGAATTTCGCAAGTTCCTCTAATCAGCTGCTCTTTAACGGCCTCCGATGATTATAAATCTCTACTATGACTAGCGTAGAGATACAATAGTTGTTTTTTTCTCGAACTCCTCTAATGTCATTGGATGTCCACATCTTTCCATAGTCCGAGAAAACGCATGAATGAGGAGGTCATCTGGTACACCTACTGTATGTTCAGCTGAGGTATGGATTTTTAGTTTGATTCAGTCAGTCCAACTGTATGGGCGCTTTCCGAACACCGCTGGCTCAGCTGAAGTAGTAACGAAAAAAAAAAAATCCAAAAAAGCGCAACACTAATATCTAATTCCATAGACTGTAAAAAAAGATGGACGACGACATCTCCTATTCCTTCCACTATATAAAAGTGAAGCCAACGCATCTCAGTATGGCCGCTGCCATCTTGAGTAAATGATGTAATTTGGAGCCAGAGTCTGCGCAGTAGAGAATTGTTTGGAGCCCAAGTCTGCGCAGTAGAGATTCGTTTGGAGCCAGAGTCTGCGCAGTAGTGTCGTAAGGTGGAGCGCGGTATCAAACTCCCACCCAAACTCCTGCAGACCCAATCAACCTTAACGACACGCCCCGTTTTTACAGCATCAAATTACTAGCTAAAATCAAACTTATCACAAAAACGAACAATTGAACATATATCAGCGTGATAACAACTACCTTAAATGACCAAAACCATCTTTCGGAAAATTGTATTGGAAGTGTAATTAATTTTTTTATTTTGACTCAAGTCCCATTCGTTTACATGGAGAGGGCGGGGTTTATGACCTGTACTGCAGCCAGCCACCAGGGGGCGATCAAAGAGCCCGCAGCTTCACTTTTCAGGACGTGTGAGGCACACCCGTCTAATACTAACGTTGCAACTGGTGTCACAGGTTACATATAAAGAACAATTGTGGCTTTCCAGAACAAGGAGTTGTTTATCCAATACAAAGTTCGCCAACTGACAGAAAATCTGCCGAGTTTTCCCAAATCTGCACTAATGATGCTAGAAATAACGATTAAAGCTGGAAGACCCCGAACATCACGTCGTTTTTACTCAGGCTCTGGTAGAATCTGCCCCAAAACAGTCACACATACCAACATATGTCCACTAACGTTTAAACACATGGACAGATGCGTCGGTTGGATATGAATCACACTGAGAAGCCTGTACATAAACGGTGGCCATTATTTCTCTATATCACTGAGGCCGCTTTGGATATACAGAATAACTCATGCTCGCCAAAAATGTTCGGAAAAGAAAAGGCATAAATTAAAAATCATTGGCATCCAGAACGTGAATTGTGTAAGTGACACTTACAATTGCCTTTGTATTTAATACTAATAACAACAGTAAGAACAATATTAATCATATTAATAATAACAACAATAATATTGAAAATCAACACACTGTAAGTGAGGACGGCGAATCAGTGTAACATTATTCACACTGGGAAGGTGCGACGGAGAGCATGGCATTTCACAGACGACTCGCTGAGGCCTTATTATCCGTACTAATCAAAGACTGTCCAACTCCACACAGCACATGTGCACAACAAAGGGAGTCTCTGCACGGGTGTAAAGATATAGGGACGTGTCTGGGAGCGAGGGAGGGAGGGGGTAAAGTTGACGGTAAGACAAAAGACGATGCACAAAAGTGATTGGCAGGTGAGGTGATTGACAGGCGAGGGGGCCGGGCCCTGTGTGGGAGGGTCACTTTCCTTCCTCCCTCTCTCCAACTTCCCCCCTCCCTCACTCTCTCTCTTTCACTCTTGCACTCTCCATTTCTGGCTGGGCACTCTTGTTAGATGTGGCTACAATGAGCTCAACCTGAGGAAAGAAAAGATTGTTAGCTGTGTGTCATCATCACTTTGTACAACAACAACAACAACAACATTTGTTCAAGAATGTGCAATGAGCAGAGCAAGGCTACACTAAAAAAAAAAGGGTTTAGAAACAATTTTCACTTAGAAATTGCTAGTCAATTTCACAATTAATTACAAAGAAATACTGAGTTAAATGGAACATTTTGAAGTAGAAAGACGTACTCCCAACAATCTGTTTTATTTACAACTTCAAAAGGTATTTTTATAGTGTAACTGTCACAAGGGCTAAAAGACCAAAATGTGTTTTCTCTCTCACAGTGGTGAATTATATCTTCCAAACTAAAAATCTGATATCATCATATTTCAAGGCAACTATATAATGAAGATTAAGTTTTTTTTAAATTTAAGCGCAACTTTGAGGCAAGCTGTCACATGTCCTTCAAATTTGTTTACTTTTTGTTTGCAAATCTAACACATTTTTATGACTCTTTATAATTTACTTTTAAAGTAAACATAGCTAAATATAAACAAAAGATATGATAGAGAGCATTTCATATTTCAAAAATCAGTGTTAAAAACCAGATCTACAGGTCAATGTGTTAAATGTAGCCAAGATTTTAAGACACAGAAAATGACTTCAATAAATGAACCTGCCCTAAAAAGCGAGACAACTAGCCCCAGTCTCTCTATATACAGTTGTGCTCATAAGTTTACATACCCCTTGAAGAATATGCAAAATGTTAATTTTCACAAAATAAGAGGGATCATGAAAATTGCATGTTAGTTTTTATTTAGTACTGTCTTGAATAAGCTATTAAGTAAGCAGATGTTTATATATACTCCACAAGACAAAATAATACCTGTATTTATAAAAATGACCCCGTTCAAAAGTTTACATACCCTTCAATATTAATACTGTGTGTCATTTCCTGGATGATCCATGACTGTTTTATGTTTTCTGATAGTTGTTCACGAGTCCCTTGTTGGTCCTGAGCAGTTTAACTGCCTGTTGTTCTTCTGAAAAATCCTCCAGCTCCTGCACATTCTTTGGTTTTCCAGCATCTTCTGCATATTTGAACCCTTTCCAGCAGTGACTGTATGATTTTGAGATCCATCTTTTCACTCTGAGGACAATTGAGGGGACTCATACAAAACAATTACAAAAGGTGAAAACATGTACTGATGCTCAAGAAGGCAACACGATGCATTAAGAGCCAGGATTGAACAGGATGATGATGTGTAAATTTTCTGATATTTATTAAAGATCGTATTTTTTTCATTTAGTACTGCACTTCAGAAGCTACATAAATACTTACATGTTTCCCAGAAGACAAAATAAGGACAATTTACCCTGATCATCCAATTCAAAAAGTTTACACCCCCCCGCTCTTAAAGGCACAATATGTACCAATATTGGCTTTTTTTCCCCACATACGCACGACCGGAAGGAGCGGAAGCGGTCGACTGTGGCATAATAAAAGCTCCGCTGCTTTCGAGCCATGTCGCTCTCGTCTCTCCTTAGCAATTGCTTCAGCGGACTCGTTTCGCTTTGACGGCTTTCAGCCTCACTCTGTTTCATACTATGACGTTAATAAATCTTTAATACATTAGCTCATCCATGAACATGTTTTCTGCCCGGGTCGCGTCGGATTGCATCGGCTGTGGGGATGAAGACGACAACTCCCATGATTCCACACTCAGTCACGGCGTCATCAAACTACGCCTTTGTCTCTTTGTTTATTTTGAATACGCGCCCTCTAGCGGCGAAAACGTACATACTGTGCCTTTAATGCATCGTGTTGCCTTCTTGAGCATCAGTAAATGTTTTGACCTTTTGTAATTGTTATGTATGAGTCCCTCTATTGTCCTCAGAGTGAAAAGATGGATTTCAAAATCATACAGTCACTGCTGGAAAGGGTTCAAATATGCAGAAGATGCTGGAAAACCAAAGAATGTGCAGGAGCTGGAGGATTTTTCAGAAGAACAACAGGCAGTTGAACTGTTCAGGACAAACAAGGGACTCGTGAACAACTATCACAAAACATAAAAACAGTCATGGATCATCCAGGAAATGACACACAGTATTAAGATTTAAGGGTATGCAAACTTTTGAACGGGTTCATTTTTACAAATTCAGTTATTATTTTGTCTTGTGGAGTATATATAAACATCTGTTATGTGAAATAGCTTATTCAAGACAGTACTAAATAAAAAAATAACATGCAATTTTCATGATCCCTCTTATTTTGTTAAAATTATGAACATTTTGCATATTCTGCAAGGGGTATGTAAACTTATGTACACAACTGTACACTACTATTCAAAAGCTTGGGACGGCTACGATTTTCTATTTGTTTTTTTAAAATGCTTACCAACACTGCATTAACTTGATCAAAAATACAGTTCTGTCATGACAACTCTCGGAGGGATTGGCATTGTAATGTACATGACAATGTTAATGTATTTGGTCTTGTCGGAATAGATCTGCTACGCTGCTGCTGCGGCAGACTGCCAATACATCCACAACATGCTGCGGAAAGCATGTAAGAAATACTGCTGCTGCACATATAACATATGAATAACCCCCATATAGTAGGGCTGTCAAAAAAAAATTCGAATTTCGAATATTCTTCGAATTTAAAATAAAAATCCACATTCGAATGCAAAAACGTTGCATTCGAATTTTAGCTGTGCGTCAGGCAGCCCTATCAGTGGTGCACGAAATGCGACGACAATGTAAGTGTCGTTGCATTTTAATGCTTTTGTTAGCATGTCCATTTGAACCCACTAGATGCGGCGCTGCTACGTTGTTCATTCAAAATGAACATTCAAAAAAAAGAGAACAATCAATGCGGGGAAGATGTTAAATGAAGAAAGTACTCGTGATTGGTTTTCGGTCCTTTGTATTAAACTATACATACATGCATAATGCTGTTTTGTTTCTAATTGTTTAAGCAACTTTATTAATTATATATGGTTTATAAACATTATTTTAAACATTATGCACTTTTTTCAAAGATAGTTGTGTTATTTTATTATGCTTTGAAGAAACGTGCATACTATTTTGCTCAATGCGCCCTTTTGTGGCCTCAGGAGAGAAGCCAACAGCTTTTTGTCCCCCTAACTGAAATTATGCCTTTTAAATGTGAATATAATTTGAATATTGATAATATTTAAGTAATAAATTCGAATTTAGTTTTTCATACATTTTGACAGCCCTACCATATAGCATACATGAATCACCCCGTAGCAGATCTATACAGGTGGAGCTGGGGAAGGTGGAGAGTTTCTGTGCGCGCTGCAAACTGCTACAGCAAACAAAAGCCATTTGAATATTGAGCAGTAAGCTCATTGGCTACCGATACAGGAGAGAACCAATCAGCTGCCATGTGACAATGATGTCGCCAGGTCAGATTGAGCTAGACCTATCGGACTGCGCCATCTAGAGTTTCATGCCAGAACTCTGTATTAAAAACAGTAATATTGTGAAATAATATTACAAGTTTAAATAGCAGTTTTCTTTTTTAATTTAAATTCAAATTCAAACTGAAAATTTGATTAAGGCACAAGGATAATTTGTTAAAGACTCTAGCATTAAATAACATTATATCCGTCTATACGAGGATGTACCTTCACTGTAGAGGGGCGGCTGGAGCTCCCGAACAGTGGAAATGGACATTCTGCCATTTGGAGTCGCGACGATGCCACACCCTCGTCTCTTCCGATTGGCTGCTGCGCGGCCGGCCCTGCCCATCCACATATTGCGTGAGGCGGATGTAGGCGATGCAGGCGGCCTCCTCTCCAATCAGGTGCACGTGAGGGTTGAGGATGGTGGTGTGGATGGGCTTACTGTTCTTAGACAGCACTATGACCGAGTGAGAAATGGCCACACTTTAATGAACAGACGTCAGGATAGAAGTGAAGAGTAATCAGACTCAACTTACAGTTCTCAAAGTAAAATCTGTGGAAGTCCATCCCCTCCACCAGGTTTCCCAAGGCCTCAGGTTCAAAGCAGGTGAGTCCATGGTCGCAGATTTTACTGGAAAGAATTAAAATCATTGTTTCAGTGCCATCTCGTTTACGGTATAGTAAATAAAGTTAAAAATACACAAGTGACTTACGCATAGGCTTCAAAGTCGCCATTGTTGATGGCCTCAATAAGCTGCTCAGTGATTTTGATGATCTCCTGTTTGCGTGCTGTAGAAAGAGGAGGTCAAGTGTTAACAGGAGCCAACTTATCTTGTACTAGTATGCGCAGGAGGAGCATTATGGGTAAGCAAAGTCATCTCCTTTAAAACATTCCACAGGTTCACTCTATGTTATTCAGCACTCATTTATAATGTGTTAAACAAAACAGAAAAAAAACAGGTTGTTTGAACATCCACCCAAACAGATTTCAGCCACCTACTCTACCGTCCATGCTCTCTCACACAGCATTTCCTTTCCAACTCTGTTAGTCACAGGACTCTAAATACCACAGCTCAAATAACTGAAGGTTACATTACAACTCAATATCTACAGGCAACACAATGCAATAATTCTCTGTAAAACCAGGTGGTCCAATCACAAATGGTTTGTTTGGATTATTTAAATATATAATAATTATTATGTTGGATTTACATTTTACATTTTTAAGAAGAAAACTGAATTGGCTGCTGAAAATTCAGCTTTGCCAATGCAGGAAAAATGACTTTTACTATTTTAAAATATATCAAATTAGAAATCTTTTTTAAATGTAATAATATTTCACAATATTACTGTTTTTACTGTATTTTTTATCTAATAAATGCAGCCTTGAAAGCTAGGGGTGGGCGATATGACCAAAATCACTATACGAGTAATTTTCTTTCACAGTAACGATATATATCACTATATATTTATTTTTGCTTTAAATAAGGTCTTTATGATATCAAAAGTTTTGATACCATAGAAATATCATAATTCTTGTCACCAGTGTCAATATCACAAAAAATACTAATACTAGCCAAAAAAAGTTTTTTTTTTATAAATCTAGCTCACTGAAGACAAGTAAACAGTCAGCAATTTAATAAGAATAAGAAACTAATTACAAGCAATAGGACAAAAAATAAACTACAGTAGAACAAATAAATAAGAAAAGCTACATACATGGTATAAAGTAATTAAATGTATAAAACACTGCATATTGTTCACTGTCTAAATTAAATATATATTTCTTCTTATTAAAGTTACAAAAGTGATTTAGTCAAGAGCAGTGGGAGATTTTCTCTCTTTTGTTGTTTGATTAACATGAATGACAGACAGCAGGAATATGTTCACTGTCTAAATTAAATATATATTTCTTCTTATTAAAGTTACAAAAGTGATTTAGTCAAGAGCAGTGGGAGATTTTCTCTCTTTTGTTGTTTGATTAACATGAATGACAGACAGCAGGAATATTAGACTGCTGTCACTTTAAGAGCTGCCTGGATCCAATATACTGTTGCACATGTTTTCTTTCTCAGTTGTTTGCTTTGACTTAACACTTTAATTACTGTGGATGTGGATTACGAGGAAGCTTGCAAAGATGGGCATTTTGAAACATACAAGTGTGTGTATTTACCCATTCAAGGCTTATAAAGCGGCAAAAATAACTCTCTCAGACAGCGCACGCATATAGTGAAATGAGTTCTTTTTCGCTGCTGACTGCATTTCAGTGGCTTAAAATCACTTGTTTTTAACCCACAATGCTTAAAAACGTGTGCAAACGATACATTTTCGTCACCACGTAACACAGCAAAGTCACATGAGCGTGTAACCGCGATTGAGATGATAGTCTGAAATCTCTACCGGTTGACAAAATTCTACCACTTAATCGTGTCTACCGGTATATCGCCCATCCCTATTGGAAGCCATGAGAGACGTATATATAAATATATATATATATTAGGAGTGCAACGGTTCTCAGTAAAATATCGAACCGTACCGTTCTCTACAACAACACGGAAATCTCTCACTGCTCTTGATTGAATAACTTTTGTAATTTTAATAAGGATTAATCTTTAATTTATTCAGTCAAATATGCAATGTTATTTTACATCGCTTGAATGGACAAATTCACACAAAAATTATGTCAAAATGCCCGTCTTGGTGGGTATCCTAGCAGACATAGTCGGCTGAACATACTGTATCGCGTGACTCTAAAACCGTGATACAAACCGAACAGTAAGTTGAACCGTTGCACCCCTAATATATATATATATATATATACACAGACACACATTATTTTCTATTAATGTTATTTTAATAAAGCCCTCAACTCTGGGGATATAATTTTGTGTGTGTGTGTATGTGCTGTAAAAGCCTGCAATAACACTTGTGAGACACTCTCCTCTTCATAATACAAAAGTGGTCACAGATGATGCATTTGAGACACGACACATGCTACTCCCAGGTGTACACAGCAATGTGATTAAATCACCCGTGAAATCCACACTGTATGCATGTTAGCCCAGTAGCATCACCGCTGCCTTTCTATACTCCCAGGAAATCAAAAACTCATGCTGCTGTGCCAGTAATGCAAGCACAGACACCTATACCACATACTCACAATGTGCTGACGGCAGGGGGCTGGTGGACGGTTGGGCAGGGGAAGGGGAGGGGTGTGATGGGGCAGATACTGGGGCAGTAAGGGGTCTGCTGGCTGCTGATGGCTCACTGTCTGTATGAGGGGCTGTAGGTCTGCGCACACTGCTCACTAGGTCAGTCAAACGTGACACTGGATGCATAATTGACGAAAGGCAGATGACAGAAAAAAGAGAGATAAACAACTAGCTGCTAGGAGAAAACATGGCGAATCAAATATGCAGTGAGTGACAAATTTGTAATAAACATGGAGTCAGCAACTTCTCCTGAATGACCTCTCTTGCATACTGGTCCATCAGGGACTTACTCTGTGTGGGAGTGCTGGGGGTCTGGGGAGTGGAGGGGGCAGAAACAACAGCTGGAGTGATAGTGCTTCCCCCCTCACCATCAGATGTGGGCACCGAGCCCCGACGTACCACACCCAATAGATCAGTGAACTTAGTGGCAGCTGTGGGCCCAGACAGGGCAGGACAGAAATAACAGAGTGGAGTTGAGCTTAGAAAAGGAGCGGAACAGGAATAGCAGTGGCATTAATGGAACAGTTAACTCAAAAATGGGTATTTTATCATTGTATACAATTCAATGATTTTTGGGTATCTGAGCTGCAGTAGAAGTAAGATTTATTAGTAAATAATTTCAGCCTTTTTACACAAAGTTACCATAAGACCATAGCAAATGAATGAACCACCCAAAAATGAAAATTCTGCCATTAATTACTCACCCTCATGTCGTTCCAAACCCGTAAGACCTTCGTTCATCTTCGGAACACAAATTAAAATTTCATCAAAAATATCTTAATTTGTGTTCCGAAGATGAACAAACGTCTTGCGGGTTTGGAACGACATGAGGGTGAGTAATTAATGACTGAATTTACACTTTTGGGTGAACTTTCCCTTTAAAGGTAATTAGGAATAAACGGTTTTCTATTTTCTATTCATCAAAGAATCCAGAATAAGAAATGTTTCTTGAACATCAATTCAGCTTATCAGAATGATCTCTAAAGGATCATGTAGCACTAAAGTAATGCTGAAAATACAGTTTTCCCATCACAGGAATAAATCACATTTTGAAATATATTCAAATATAAGTTATTTTAAATTGTAATGTTATTTCACAATATTACTTAATTTCTGAAATTTTGATTAAATAAAAGTCTCAGTGGGCATGCAATACTTAAAAAAAAAATCTTAAGTGACCCCAAAATTTTGAACGATAATGTGCATATATATATATATATATATATATATATATATATACACACACATTACATATATATTTATAATATCTAATTTCTTTTTCAGGGTACGTTTATACAACAACAATAAGCTAAAAACGGAAAAGCTTTTCCTGTGCGTTTTTTTGTGCACAGACGACAACTTTGTCAAAAACGATTCCTGGATCCACGAAAACAACTTACAGTGCTGTATTATGCATGCCAGGCCAGTAGTTGGCAATATCACTTTTTAAAGGAACACTATTCAAACACGTAATACGCATGCCCATGACATAAAAAAATTTGATGCTAATATTCGAGACTATAACAGTATCATTTTCAAAAACTCGCACTTTGAAACTTGTGTAAATGAATGGCGAAAACACATTAAAGGTTTTCCATTTTTTTTGTTGAAAATGGCATTTTGTGTAAACACCCCCCTTAGAGGAAAATAAACTCATACACGCTTGGAAGAACATGAAAGTAAGGTGAGTAAATGATGACAATTTTCATTTTTTTTGTTGAATTATCCATCTAAATAAATCCAGAAAAAACACCTGAAAATGGTTAAACATTTAGGACACAGAAAACTGCTAAACTAAAAACATTAAGGTATCCATTTACTAATGAGAACACAAATTACAACTACAATCTTCATTAATGCTTCTCATTTGATGGCACAACTTTACTAATTTTATTGCTGATCGGCATCACACACATGCAAAAGGGGATTATGGGACGGTGGATGAGGTCACGGCAGTCAGAGGGCACTTACTGAAGAGAGCGGGGGAGGGGCCGGGAGGTGTGTGGGCGGAGTCAGGCTGGGTGCTGGGGTTTGACTGAACTGAACTGTTATCTACAAGCTTTCCTGTGACACGCCCCCCAACATCGCACAGAGAGAGAGAGAGATGGGACACAGAAAGCATACTGATGTCAACAGGGTTGTTGCAGCCATTCTCAAGCCTAGAAAAGGCCGGAGGAGCGAGATGCCTTCATGTGAAGTGTGGTGTTCCAGCTAAGTGTTACTGCAGTATACAAGACCAACGAATGATATGCAATCCAAAAATTCTATTTTTAAATGAAAGATACTTAATGGAATATGTCACCCAAAACCGAAAATTCTATGCCAGTAGAGTAGGTCTGACTTCATGAAGTTTGGTTACAAGACACTTAAGAATCAGAAATTTTGGGATGAAGTATTCCTTTAAAACAAGACAAGTATATGAGAAGCAAAACTGGACACATTATAAAGACTTGCTTTCAGAGAATCTATCTAGAATATAATTAATTATTTTGTCTTGTTCCACTGGCAGATTTTTTTCATTAGTTTTAAGCATAAACATCTCTAAATGTTTTATTTCGTAAGTTCTACCAGCTATTTTCTGCAGCGCATGAAATCTGCTTGTATTACTATCAACAGGAACGAAGCAAAACAAAGACTGAGCAAAAGATGACAACCAAAACTTAATCAAACAGTACAGTAAATATAATGAAACATAATACAATAAAACACAACAAAATAGAATATTTTCCCAAATCAAATCAATACTGGACTAAACAGGACTAAACTGGACTAAACAAACTAAACAGGACCATAAAAATCATGCTAGCAAGTTGCAGAAATCAACGTGATTGACTCAAAAACACATATTCAAAGCTTGAAACTAATCATTTACAGTCCTTATAAACTGCCTCTATTCAAGTGCTTTACAGTCAAGCTAGCATAGATGTTATAAAGCTAACTTTGTAACAGCTGCGCCATAATTCATCACTCAACTATTGCAGCCAGATATTTCCCAACACCACCTAGAAGTAACACACACACACACACACACACACACCCTTCTCACCGTCTCTTTTGTGTGATTGCGAAAACAAGACATCACACTCCTGTCATGCACGCTGTCTGCCCAGAAATTTGGCGGCAAGTTTTCTGCTCATACACACACTCGCACACATGCTCTGAAATAGCCAGGGTCTCTGTTTCCCACTGAGCTTAATTATAGCACAAGGTGCCCTTGCCTTGTTCTGGGGCAGAGAGAGCTGACACCAACCCAGAACACAGTTTTGAGCCCAGAAGTGAGCACCGAATGAGCTCAGGATAAAAACTTCTCACTACATTTCTCAGTTTACTATTAATGGACCATGACGTGAATATCAAATGTTTATAGACTTTTGTTTCTACTCTGCATACACTACCATTTAAAAAGTTTGAGGTCGGTAAGATCTTAATGTTTTTTAAAAAATTTTTTTTAAGAATTCTCTAACGCTTTCCAAGGCTGCATTTATTTGATCAAAAATACAGGTAAACCAGTAATATTGTGAAATGTTATTACAATTTAAAAGAACTGTTTTCTATTTGAATACATTTTAAAATGCAATTTATTCTTGTGATGGAAAAGCTGAAAACTGAAGTCTTCAGTGTCACATGATCCTTCAGAAATCATTCTAATAATTTCTGTTCAATTCTTATAAACAACATTGAAAACAAATGGGCTGCTTAATATTTTTCCATTTTTTTTCCCAATTAATATAAAGTTCAAAAGAACAGCATTCATTTGAAATAGAAGGCTTTTGGAATGTTATTACAATCACTTTTGATCAATTTAATTCATCATTGCTGAATAAAAATGTCTTTCCATAAAACAAACTTTTAAATGGTAGTGTAAATCTGATTTGTTTTTCCAAATATGAATATGAATATTTAGGACTGACGGTTTGCTTTGTAACTATGTAAAATCTGATTTTGACAGTGTAGTCAACATCTCTCATCAACTATATATTGCTCGCCATAAAAAAATACTTAAAGTGATAGTACACCCAAATATGAAGACTCTTTCATTTACTTGCCAAACCTGTATTTTACTTCTGTGCAACACAAAAGAAGATATCCACAAGAATATTCCAAAGAAATTTTTTTTTTTGTCGTCTATGCAATGACAGTCAATGAGGTTCAGTGTTGTTTTGGATCCCACTGACCTTCACTGCATGGAAAAAACTGTTAAAACATTCTTTAAAATCTCTTCTTTTGTGTTTTGGAGAAGAAAGCAAATCATACAGTCATAGAACAACACAAAGATGAGTAAATAACTATTCATTTTAATTATTCAATACAGAATTTCCATTTTTGGGTGAACAATCCCTTTCGAATCAGCCCGATGTGAAAAGACATACTGTAAGAGAGGAGATGTCATTGCAGAAAGATGACACCCTGAATGTACTGAACAAAAATCTGATTTTAATTGGATTTCAAACTACATTATATTATCTTTGCTATTCAGATTACAAACAACTATCAGATTGTTGCAGCCTGTCTGAACAAAAGCTTGTGTGTTGTTCCATACAAATGCTGATAGTTGAGTCTTACCTTTCATTTCCTCGTCCTCCACTGTGGCATTACTGCTGTCTGATGACTCCTGTGATATTCAGACACAGAGCGCCAATTAGTTAGACAATATATTAACATTTTTCAGAAAGAATTACACCAGCTAGTGCCAAAGCCCCCTCTCAAATTGTCATACACACACACCATAAATGAACACATAAACAGCAGAACTCTGGGGAATCACACGCACAATTAACCGTTCAATGATGCATGGCCATTAGAAGAGGCTTGTTATGTTTGTTATAATCCCACTCACATACGTAATGATATTAAACACAGGCCACACCTCCACCAGGAATGAACGTTATGAACTCAATTCTCTTTCCTAATTTCACAATATCCTGTGCTGAAATCTGAGAGCTGAGTACAAGAATACTGCAAACGCTTCCACGCTCCGAGAGTAATATAAAACAACATATTCTTGGCCTGCAGCAGTCTTCTTTGGTGCATACTGGATGCACATTTATTTTGCATCATGTGAATTCATGTTCAATTTCTTAGATGTGATTTGATGGGTCTTACTAAGCAGCCTCAGAACTTCTGACTGAAAAGAAAAATAAAGTGTGGATTTGAAAATTGGGGTTATGTCCAACTGAATGATTGAATATATTCTGGCATTAGAAGACGATCAAATTCTAATCCTAATCTTCAAAAAAACTTGACCAAAATATATAAAAGAAAAAGTAAAAGCATAGCATATATTTATTTAATGCCATGTCAGCATCAAAGGCTATTTTCATGGCAAAAACAATTTAAAAAAAAACAAGTCTAATAAATACAATAAAAACCAGCAAACAAACAAACAAACACAAGTTATATCACACAAGATTTTTTACATTAACATGTGCTAAAAATTCTAAAACTTTTCCTAGTAAAATTTGACTAAACTCTTTAAGTGAGTTCGCTTCATAAAAGAGTTTTCTCTGTACATTAAAAGCTGGACAGTCCAATAAATTATGTTTAACAGAAAGGAGAACCTTGCAAAACATACATTGAGTAGGGTCAAAAAGTAAAAGTAAATTAAATCAGTGTTATTTCTGTTAACTAAAACTATTTTTTAACATACTATTATTATTACCTAAATCATTTTTGGTAATTGAATTATTGAACAAAGCGGAAATACAAGCCACACAAAAATCTGAAATAAAAAACTTTATATAAAAAAAGTTTATATATTTATAATTTTTATTTCAGTTTTGTAGTTTTTTTTTTTGTTATTTCAGTAGATCAAGTTACACTAATTGAAGTTTAAGGGCTTAAAAAGTTCATTTTTTAAAAATTTTTTTATGGTATAATGCTATAATAACCCTTATTTTAATATTTAAAAAAGCTTTAAAAAATGACTATGTCCACCTGTATGATAAATAATTTTGGTCCTGTGTTGGGTCACCACTTGATGTCTAATTTAAAACAGAGTCCTGATGCAAAACCATTGCAATAAAATTCTTACTAAAATAAAGTCTGAACAAATATTTTGGATTTTTAAATGAGCCATGCCGTATTGAGAAAACAGTCAAAGCTGAAGGGTCTGCAACAACACCTTGTAGCTGTAAGTATTTACGCACCGCAGCACTTCCTCTTGTACCTTATTACTCAACTGAATTCATCGACAGAATGATGTCTCAATAGGAAATGAGGAGGAGGAGGAGGGCATGGTCACCTGAGAAACGGGACCGTGCACCTGTCACAGTGTAACCGTAGCGATCACCAAGGACACCAGCTCCTGCTGTAAATAGGCCATCAGTATGTGGGGCGATATTATTAGGTGCTCTTGAAAAGGCTTTTGTTCTGTCATTCCATCATCTACGCTGCGCTACAGACCTTGTTACACCTGTACAAGGAAAGTGTCAAACGTGGTGAAATGGACAGCTTCCCACGCAAGTGTCTAATAGCTCATATTCAAGGGGGAGATTAAGCCCAATTCAGAATTCACACAGAACAGCAACCGCTGGCAGAACAACTCGACCCAGATCTACACTTCACTACAGCCGCCTGGGAGAATCGACGTGTTGCTTCTGCACCCACTTGCCTCTGTAAAATCTTGCTTCAGTAACGGGATAAATTCAATATACAGCAGCCAAACATTTTCTTTGCTTTCGAAACACATGCATGAATCTTTAACATTTACATTTTCATTGTACTGACAGATAGTTAAATTCATGGTTCTGTGCCTATAAATTCAAGTATTTTAATGAAGACATTGTTACTCTTAGCACAAATGAGCCACTTTTCAGTTTTGTTTTATTTAAAAAGCTGCTTGCATATAAAATTATGTACTGTAATCAGCAGGCACAATCCCTAGTAAATTCACGACAACTCTGTTTAAAAATATAAATTCATTTAAATAATAGAAAAAAATAATACACATATATATATATATATACACACATACATATATAATTCTTTTTTTCACGGGTGCATTAAATTAATCAAAAATGACTGTACAAGTATTACGAGAAATTCTATTTCAAAGAAATATCTACATTTAAATGTATTCCATTTAATTTCTATTCTGTTTTATTTTTTTTTAAAGATGAATTGTGTAATTTCTCTTCCACTAGAAGTACAAAATGCAATAAAAAAAAAGACTTCATCAGGAATCATTTTTTAATGTCAAGGGAACTTGTTTCGCAAGTGGCACTTTCAACGACCCCCACAAGAGGTCTCTCTGTCACACAGTCAGAAGCAGAGAGACCCGAGACAGCAGGTTTAATATTCTTATCATGACACAGATTTCCAACTGTTGCTCTTCAGCCTCATACTGCAAACATCTGATGTGTCAAGAGTCATTTCCCATCGTCATAATCATTCATAAACATCACTATTACAATTTATCTGGAAACAATCAGAAAGGAGCGGCACACAAACGACTCGATACTTCGACACCACATGCGTTTCATTAGAATACTTGTTTGCATGTTATGTTTAGGCACAATTTGTTAATAGTAATGAGTTATTGAACCAGTTTCAAAGAGCACGAGTGCAAGTACACATTAAACGTCAAAAGAGTCACTCATGCAGCCAACAGGCATGATGTCATAGTCTGTAGTCACATTAGCAGAAATGCATTGTGGGGATGCAGATCAAACAGAGGACGGATGGTGGGAAAGAAAGAAGAAGAGTGGTGGTGGTGGGGTACCTTAATCCCATCCACTGCATTATGGATGACAGTGGTCTGTGACTCCTACAGAGCGACAGGGGAGGAGGGGGTGGAAAAAGATGAGGAGAAAAAAGAACAAGAGAGAGAGAGAGAGAGTGTGTGTGGGTGGATGGGTGTTTGTGATTGCCAACCCAGTAAAAATGAACAAACAAAACATGCACAAAAACCACCAGAGGTTCAACAGCGGAGAGCTTCATAAAACAAATGATTGCACGCTAGGCTCTAATATTTCAAAACCACCGACTACGAACAGCAACGTATCGCTGAAAGTGAAATAGCGTGATTTCGACGGACGCTATCGCAGTGGCTAAACGAACATGTTTATTTTATGCCGTTAACCCCGGAAACCTGCTAGCTAGACGCACATCAGAGCGCATAAATCTGTAATGCCCACTTCTCTCTTGCAGGAACTAACATTCCCTCACTGGCCAATCAGCAGCCTGCGCTCCCCATCATTATGGGGTATTCATTGCCATGACAACCGTTGCCCCGTGCAACAGGCAGCAGTCGCATACTAAGGGTCTATAAGTCTATAAGAATCTGGAAATGCTGACAAAAAATTCATTTTTAAAGGGATAGTTCAGCCTAAAATTCTGTCAATTTTTTTAATGCACCCTCAAGTTGTTCCAAACCTGTATGAATTTCTTTGTTCTGTTGAACACAGAAGATATTTTGGATGAATGTTGGTAACCAAACAGTTGACGGTAGCCACTGACTTCCATAGTATGGAAAAAAGACAAACAGAAGAAACATATTCATACAGGTTTGGAACAACTTGAGGGTGAATAAATAATGACAGGATTTTCATTTTTGGATGAACTATACCTTAATAAATTAATTTTTATTGTCATATAGCTATATATATATATATAATGTCTTATGACATATTATGCATTACGACAGATGTTTTAATGCTGTCTTTAAATAAAACAGTGTTAGCATTGATAGAGTTCAAACTGTCCTGTTCAAACTCAACACTTCATTTGTCAGTTAAATGACCATTTTCCAAATACTAAAACATTTTAGTAAAATATTCAAAATATAGAAAATACAAGTGGATAAATATTGTTGTATACTACCATGCATTGTTATACTGGCACCTGGCACATAAATTAGTTAGAACAGTTTTTTTTTTTTAAGATTTAATTATTATTAATCTTTTTTTTTAGTTCTTACATACAATATTTTGAGTATCCTTGGCTGTTTGGTTAAAATAGCAGTTCCTCTTACTGGGTGAAAAAAGAGAAGGCAAAGCAAATTTTAAATACAAAACCATAATATGGAGATATATATCAAATAAGGGTACAAAAGAAAAATATCACCCAGTCCTACATAACCGTACAGTTGATAGTAAAGCTGGAAGGGAAGCAATGAAACAAAGCACTAAGGCTAGAGTCTTTACTGACCATAAACACCTCCTCACTTCACTTCAGGGTTGAGTAACTCTATCTGCACTATAAAACGCACCATGTACACACACACAAACTCCACAGTGGCAGCATTAAAGGGCAACTATGAGAGATCCTAAAATATTCTGATGTATTGGGCCACGTGTTGCAATAGCTGGATGTGTTGAAACGCATGTCATGTTTCCATTAGGAGCTTCCTTCCTTAATGCTTGGAGTTCACTCTAAAACCTCTTCACAGAGCTTTTACAGACCACAGAAATCGACAAAACTCCCCTCAGAACATAGACTATCCATCTATATCCCTCAAGCATATCATTAAACATTAAACAATCACATCATTCATGTACCCACCACCCTGGCATAATGACATTTATTAAATTCCCTGCCAACTCCAAGCAACAAACAACCTTCATCATCCACCGGATCAAAGCAGACACTGAAAGGCAAACTTACGGTGGCCGAGAAGTGCAAAGCAAATCACAATTCTGAAAACAAAATAAATTACAAACGCAAATGCAAGTCTAAAAAAACAAAATATTATAACAAGTCAGAAAACACAACGACAAATCAGACAAACCGGAAGAGGTAGGTATAGTTTGAGACAGCGCCATTGGTTTGGGATTACTCACCGCTGACTGGACGAGACATCTGTCAATCAACGTATACAGGGAAGAACCAGCCGAAGAACAGCATAGTCGTGGTAGAAAGTTCGGAGATGGTATTAAAGTAGCTCAGTTTAAATGTATTGTATGAATTGCCCTTACTATGGAATAAAAAATACGGGGTGTCTATTTACATTTAGTTAAAAGTGGCTGTAAACCATCAGCTCCAGTGGCGCAGATGGATAAGCGTGTGCCCTTGGCTTTTTGACGCGATCGACCTGGGTTCGATCCCACCTTTTGCT